TGGCCCTCTCCAGCAGATATTTAGTATTTGTAATAATTGATTAGTTGACGAGAATCACTTGTCTATTATAATAGAGTTGTATAGGATGTGTCTGAAAAGTTGGCAGATCTGTCTGTACTTCAAGTTTGATTAAGGCCCTAGATTGTCCTAGCACCTCTGCTCTCAAGTTATCAAGGTTTTTAATAAATATCCAGCCATTCTAGAGAGTACAAAGAAAATAGAGATAATCCTATATACCAAGAATTTCAGATGAAGATTAGGATTTCTGGAGAACCTAGAGATGCTTAAAACTCATCTGAATTACCAGTTAGACCACAACTCAGAGCTTAGGAATTTCATGTCCAGTTATCTGCTTATTTACTACTACCAATAGTGCAGACTAATTCAGTCTTTAGAGAAATCAGTTAGAGGTGCTTCCAGTTTTTTCTTTGTGTGTGTGTGTGGTACTGGAGTTTAAGCCCAAGACTTTGTGACCTGGCAGGTGCTCTACCACTTGAGCTAGAGCCCCAACTCTTTTGTTCTAGTTGTTTTACAAATAGGTTCTAACATTTATACCCAGGCTGGCCTAGACCTCAATTTTATGCTTCCTACATAGCTGGATGATAGATGTGTTACCACTATTCCAGTGTTTTATTGGTTGATTGTGGAGGGATCACAAACTTTTTGTCTGAAATATAGTTCAAATTCATTCACCAATATTGAAAATGAAAAAGAAAAGTCTGTAAGAATGTCCCAGGAAATGCAATTATTTCAGCTTTTGAGAAAATAATGTAATAAAATGTAATTTAGTGAATATAATAAATGTGCGTATAAAGTATAATTTTATGTATGCTTATTGTTTGATGTGTTTATAATATGCATGTAACACTTTTTGTAATAATGACTTCAAAAACACCCCAGTCACCTTAAAATGATACAAAACTTCAGATTTGGTGGATGATTTTTCTTTTTCTTTTCTCTTTTTTTGTCAGTGTTGGGGCTTGAACTCAGGGCCTAGGAGCTGTCCCTGAGCTTTTTTGCTCAAAGCTAGTGAGTGCTCTACCACTTTGAGCCACAGCTCCACTTTTGTTTTCTGGTGGTTAATTGGAGATAAAGCCTGCCTTCCTGGCTTTGAACTGTGAGTCTCAGATCTCAGCTTCTTGAGTAGCAAGGATTACAGGCATGAACCACTAGCACCTGGCTTTTTTTTTTTCCCTTTTATAAAAGACACCATTGTTGTTGTTGTTGTTGTTGTTGTTACTGCTGCTGCTGCCAGTCCTGGGGCTTGAACTCAGGACCTGGGCACTGTCCCTGAGCTTCTTTTGCTCAAGGCTAACATTCTACCACTTGAGCCACAATGCCACTTCTGGCATTTTCTGTTTTATGTGGCACTGAAGAATAGTGCTTGCTAGGCAAGCACTCTTCCACTAGGTCACATTCCCAGCCCCTATTATTACTAATTTTAGTTACAATAAGTCAAAATATGGAAGAAAACAACATACTTTATAGGGAGAAATAAAAGCACTCTTATTTGTATAGTACAAATATGTGCATTTATTTATATAATATGTACACACATAAGAGTATTGTAACTTTTTGTGGGGGAGGGTACTAGGGCTTGAACTTAGGATCTTGAGCTTCTTCTACTTTTTTTAAGCATACATTAGTTTTACATAGAGGGATTTCATTTTTACCTTTCAAACACATTTACAATGTATTCTAATCAATCTTGCCCACCTCTGTCACTCTCCTGTCCCCATTTAGAATGCACTTTTTAAAATACATTAACTCAGAGAAATGTGGATTTGTGGGACAAATACTTCAGATATATTTCAGCGAGGGGAGAATGATGGAAGGGGTGACATTGATCAAGATGCATTATACTCATAAACTGTCCTGTTGAATTTAAACCCCTTTGTATAACTACTTAAAGGTAATTTTTTAAAAGATACATTTCAACACACACAAAGGAATAGATCTCAAAGTATGATGATCTATTTCCTCCTGAAGATCTTAAGACCCTTAAAGAAATCCATAAAATCAACCTGTTTTGATTATAATTGTATGATACTACTTTTCACCATGCTGGCTTTTGCTATAATTATAAAAGCCTTATGAGGACTAAAATTGATGATATCTTAGCACAAATTAGTCAGTTGTATCACACTTTACTAGTAGTTAGTATGTTCTTGCCTTAGGCACTTAAAAGAGAAAGAAAAATAAATTTTACTAAGAATGTCCTAGGGTGGGGAATGTAGCTCAGTGGTAGACTATATACATTTTCGTATGCATAAAGCCCTGGGTTTAATCTCCAGCACAGAAAACAAACAAAAACCCACAAAAATTTCTTGGTGTAAAGCCAGGTACCCGTGGCTCACACCTGTAATCCTAGCTACCCAGGAGGCTGAGACCTGAGGATCATGGTTCAAAGCTAGCCAAGGGCAGGAAAGCCCATGAGACTATTATCTCCAATAAACTACTCAGAAAAAGCAGGTGCTATGGCTCAAGTAATAGAGTCCTAACCTTGAGCACAGAGAAGCTCAGGGACAGTGCCCAGGCCCTGACCAAACCCCAGGACCAGCAAATAAATAAATAAATATCCTTGGTATAACATTTTCTTAAAACCTGCCCTTGAGGGGCTGGGAAGGTGGCTCAGTGGTAGAGCGCTTGCCTTGCATGCATGAGGCCCTGGGTTTGATTCCTCAGCACCACATAAGCAAAAAGAAAAAAACCGGAAGTGGCGCTGTGGCTCAAGTGGTAGAGCGCTAGCCTTGAGCTGAAGAGCTGAGGGACAGCACCCAGGCCCAGAGTTCAGGCCCCACGACCGGACCCAAAAAGAAAAAAACAAAAAACCTGCCCTTGACTGTTTTTACTGTTCTATGTGAGGAAATGAGAAGCACACACAGACACTTCTGCAGTATATCAAAGCTCACCAATTGTCTCAAGAAAAAGCATTTTGTACAGTTATTTTGGTTGCAGCTATATGAGCTACAATTTCATATAATAGCAATTTTTACCTGAGAGTATGAATGATAGGCAATTTTATGTAGTTATTTATGTTTTGTGTTGATTGTGGGGCTTGAATAGTAACATTAAATTAAGGATAAGGCTGGGAATGTGGCTTAATAGTAGAATACTTGCCTAACATGCATGAAGCCCTAGTTTAGATTCTTCAGTACCACATAAACAGAAAAGGCCAGAAGTAGCACTGTGGCTCAAGTGGTAAAATGCTAGCCTTGAGCAAAAGAAGCTCAGAGGCAATGCCAAGGCCCTGAGTTCAAGCCCCAGGACTAGCAACAACTACAACAAAAAAATAATTTAGGATAGTAGGGCACATGTTTTCTCTTAGACTCAAAATCTAACCTCATATGTAAACACATGTAAATGGGCATATTCATAAGTATATACAATCTAGTTGACTTAGTATATGTAGTGAAACTTCATGGAGTAAAAACCTTTGAACTAACAGTTTAACAAAATGAAGATGAGGAAGCTGAAACAGTTTGATTGGAGTGTTGGGTAGTGGGAGGGAAATAGATTAATGGAAAACGAATGGGAAACAAAGTCATAATACCCCATGTATATATGTGATAAAGGAAGCAGGAAGTGTGACATGGGTCTGGGGAAAGAGGTGGAAGGTGAATGATAGAAAAGGTAAATGACCAAGAAGCGGACACATAAATGGACATGTTAAATTGTATCCTCTGCACAATCACTTGAAGAATACAAAATAAAATTTAAATAAATTAGGATAGTATTTACTTGGAAGGGTGATGCAATCTAGGTCATAGAAGGAGGTGGTAGAAATACCCTACATGTTTGTTTGAATTTATTTGGAGGAGTTTCCTGTCTTTGTTTGTTATATATGTGTTTGTTTACTACAGAGTAAACAATGTATAGCCCAAACTCATGATCCCCTCAGCCTCCTGAATGCTGGAATTACAGGCTTGTGCCACCACACCTGGTTTCTTTCTTTCTTTTTTTTTAATGGATTTCTTTTTTAAGGATTGAAGGTGTTAAGCAATATTAGGCAAACTTTCTACCACTGAACTACAACCCCAACCACTTTGTTGTTATTCTTTAATTCCATTCCCGGATATTTATTCTGTCAAAATTCTTGTACTTGTGGAAGACATTTCATGTACTCTTGTATATATTTTTTTCAACTTTAATTTATAAGTTTATTCTATATCCATGATAAAGTATGAGGTACTTGCATGTGTACTGACATGGGGAAAATGTCCAGCTAATATTAAGTGGCAGGCATGTTACAAAATTCTACAATATTCTAAAGGTGTGGATCAAACAATAGAATACATATCTACCAAGCACAAGGTCCTAAGTTCAAACCCAGTACTGCCAAAAAAGTAATAGATTTTTTTTTAAATTCTGCTAGGTGTCAGTGGTTCATGCCTGTAATCTTAGCTACTCAGGAGGCTGAGATCCAAAGATCTGAGGCAGGAAATCCTGTGAGACTCGTATCTCCAATTAACCACCAAAATACCAGAAAGTAGAGCTGTGATTCAAATGGTAGAGCACTAGTCTTGAGCTAAAATCTCAAGGACAATGTTCAGGCCTCGAGTTTAAGCTCCAGCACCACCACAAAGGAAAATAAAATAAAATATACTCCACAGCATAATTCTCTTTTAATAAAAATATGAAAGTGTTCATTGAACTAAATCTGACCTACATACACCAAAATATGAACAGTGATGATTTCCAGCATGATTTCATTTCAAAATTATACATCTATGTTTCAGTCTTTTCCAGTAATCTCTTTGATTTTTGTGATCAACAAGACAACAATAAAGATTATTATTATTATTTTTTTTTTTTTGTCAGTCGTGGGGCTTGAACTCTGGGCCTGGGCGCTGTCCCTCAGCTCTTCAGCTCAAGGCGAGTGCTCTACCACTTGAGCTACAGCGCCACTTCTGGTTTTCTGGTGGTTTATTGGAGATAAGAGTCTCACAGTCTCTCCTGCCCGGGCTGGCTTTGAACCGCGATCCTCAGATCTCAGCCTCCTGAGTAGCTAGGATTACAGGCGTGAGCCACCAGCGCCCGGCAATAAAGATTATTTTTATGTTTGTAAAAACTTGTTTCAAACAGAGAAACATTTCTTTTTCCCTCTAGGAGTAGAAAAGATAATCATTAGATTCCATATAGAAGAGTTAGTGAGAACAGAGGTAAAAATGGAAAGGGCTTTGGGGTTCAGGTTCCTTTAGCGTTAAGAGAATAAGTGAATGGGGACTGATCAGATCTGCCTTTCTTAAGCACAAACAAAACTTCTCCCTGTCACTTTCCGCCATGGCTCAGGAAGTAACTGAAATCTTGACCAGCTATTTTTCAGGCTTGTCCCATTGTTCCAGGTCCCCAGCCGACAGTATCTCCCAATAATGTTCTGACTTCCTAAATAAAATACCTATGAATCCAAGGAAAACATGGTAAGGTTAGAGCAAGTGCTCAGGGATACAATAGGGCAAATTATAGAGCAAAAGAAATGCTAAGGATAAGGAAATACTAGGCAATCTTATTCTAGGCCAGTCAGTAGATCACTCTTTCTCCATTTAGTGCACCTAAATTTTCTATTGCAGAGCCAAGTATGGTGTAATCCCAGCATTCAGGAGACTGAAGTAGGAGGATCACAAATTCAATAACAGCTTGGAATACACAGTGAGACACTGTCTCAAGAAAAGAAAAGAAGGGGCTGGGAAGGTGGCTCAGTGGTAGAACACTTGCCTTGCATGCTCAAGGCCCTGGGTTCGATTCTCAGCACCACATAAGAAAAAAGCCAGAAGTGGCGCTGTGGCTCAAGTATAAGAGTGCTAGCCTTGAGCTGAAGAGCTGAGGGACAGCACCCAGGACCGGAATTCAGGCCCACGACCAGACCCCCCCCCAAAAAAAAAAGAAAAATTCCCTTGCTAGTGGTGAAGGTCTTAGGCTTATAGAGATATGGAAAGGAGGGTGTTCTGTGGTAAAGAAGAGAGTTTAGATTAACAAAGGAAAATAATTCTAAGCTCATGTGGTCATTTCTGTATAGAACATTTCCCATCTATCCTGTCCAGGCAAGCTTGTATTCATTCTTCAGATTTTAAATAATGGGTACTTTCTGGGGAAACCCCAGAAACTAACTCCAGCCCATCTTCAGTACCCTCCAAAATGGAAGTAGAGGTTTCCTTGCTCCCTCAGCCTGTGTTTCCCTTATTCAGCACTATCCCACTAATAGTTACCTATTTGTTGATTCTCCAAGTAGAATTTAAGCTTCCGAGGTCAAAGGCTGTGATAGGTATGTTATGCCTCAGAAAAATGGTAAATAAAATAAAAAGTGGAGAGGGCAAGAGATAAGAGAATCCTCCACTTACATAACTCGAGTGTGGTTCACATCAGGCTAGAGGAGAAGCCTCTTGGCCAAGGGAAAGCAACATAGGCATTATCCTCTTTCTATCCCTTTCTTTTGTCCTGGCGCTCCCTCTCATTCTCTCTACCACCACATCCTGTTGTGAACTTGAGCTCCCTCCACTGGCTCAACTTCACATTTACAGGGAATCAAGCCCAGGTACCCTGGTCGTTTTTTTTTCTCTTCCCTCTGATATCTTCTTACTTCTCCCATTCAGGGTAGAGGAGGTAAGGAGGGAAAGGAAAAGAAAAGGTAAAAATAGGTTTCTGGGCTAAAGACGTGGCTCAAGCACTTGAACCCTTTCTCAAGTAGTGAGAGCACTAGCCTTGAGTTCAAACTCCAACCCCCACCCCTCAAGGAAAACAAGTTTCCAAGATCCCACACCCCACACCTCCCATCTTTAACATCAAGAGAACTTACTTGTTTCATACTCTCACCTCATGCTTAGTTTCCAGAGGTCTCTACTTCCATCTCCTACTCCAGCTAATTCACAGAGATGTTGATTTCTGGAGCTTTTGGCTGATACATCAGCTCTGACTGTGGAAGAGAGATCCTAAGATTAGTTGGGAATATACAGAGACAGACAGAGAAACAGAGGGAGGAAGGGAATAGGATATCCTTCATTCTGCCTGTGTCAATGCAGAGCTAAGAGAAATGCTTGTTGTTGTTGTTGTTGTTATCAGATCTTCAGGTTTAGTGGAGATATTAGGGTTTAGGGATAGCTCCTGGACCCATTCCCCTAGGAAGGCCTAGACTAGAGCTCACATCTTCACTGTCACTTCCATTAAATGAGTGATCTGGCTCCAGCCCTTTCTCAGGGATGTTCCTTTCCTCCTCTGGCATGAGCTCATCCAGCCAGAGAAGTTCCTGTGGCGAGAAGACCCACTCCAGTGCCTTTCGAACCCCTACCAAGCCCAGCAACTGCAAAAACAGAAACAAGCCAAGGATTGTGAGCAACAGCAGCTGAAAAATAAGTGTAACATTTATTGAACACTTCCTATATGCAAGGCATTGAGTGTTAACACATTGCTAGATACATCATTAGATATAAAAAGTGTTCACATTATACATCAAAGAAATAGAAACCCAGAGAAGTTAGTTACTTCCTAGAAGTTAGACAACTGGGATGTGATAACCTACTGCAAAGCCTGTGCCTCTTTCTCATCCGTGAGGAACAGAAATTGTCAACACTGTCTTTCCTAGGACGTCACTCTTCTTTCTGAGTTTATGAGATAAGCTCAAGAGGTTGGGAAAGGAAGTGGATTAACTATCACAGGACAAGTCTGTGTATCGCTCAGCTATCTTTTCTTGTCTTAGCATTTCCAATCAGGAAGCACCAGGGCAAGTGAGAGAAAGAGAGGAGCTTTTGTAGAGGCTTTGACTATCCTCCCAGACTCACATTCTCCCAAAACCTCCCCCACGACAACCTAACCCTGCCCCAAGTCACCATGATGGGGAAGATGATGGCTGCAGGGGTAGACTTGATTATCCAAAGCAGACCTAGGCAGGCAAGCTGAATGGCTGTGAAAAGGTGGACTCTGCTCAGAGGCACATGCCGTAAGAACAGCAAGTCTGGCTGATGTTTTGCAGGCATCAACAACAGCTGCACTCTCTTCATGAACTGGGAAGATGAGAGGAAAAGGAAACAGGCCATTCGGTGACCTGGATGTCACTGCAACTGTCCCAGCCAAACATGGGGGAGGGTAGAAAGTTCCCTTGGCCTCCCCACCCTGAGTGTGACACAGGGTCCCTGTTGCCCAAGAGAGGCAGCCATGCAATAGGAGGGGGATTGACAACTGAGGGCAGGAAGAGAAGTGTTGCTAGGAGATTTTAATGGCCTCACCTGGATGCTACTAAGTGCTGCCACCCCCATGTACAGGAAGATGCCATAGAGCACAGGCATTGGAATAAACTGGTAGGAAAAAAAAATGGAAAGCTTGCAAAATAGCTTACCTTCCAGCTGTCCAGATGTCCCACTTTAGTGTTAACATCTGAGCTTGTCCAGGCTTTCTTTTCCTGGTACATTGTGCATGCCTAGTTTCATTGAATTCTCTCATTAATCACATGAAATAAATTATAGTCTGCACTTTCAGATGGAGAAACTGAAAGAGAAACTTGTCCATTTCCTAGTGTCTTTCTGTCCCCCCGACCCCCCAAGATCCTCTTGCCTCAGCCTCCTGAGAACAAGGATGATAGGCATGCACCACCACACTAAGGTTCTTTTCCAATTTCAGGTATCCCATACCCCTCTGTTCTCTATGTTCCCAGTATACTGTTATCCTTTCCTTCATCAATGCACCCATTTGGTTCTACCCACTGCAGAGCCTTTTGCTTTGCTCTACTTCCCACCAAAGTGTTCTCCCAGATTTCTTTATGGGCAGTTCCTTCTCAGCACTCATGGTTCATCTCATGACAGCTCAATGATAACCACTCAATATGAAGTAGCCTCAACCACATTATCTACTTATTTTTCATAGATGTTATCTCTATCTGAAGTTATCCTATTTTACTTTTTTTTTTTTTGGTCTGTCGTGGGGCCTGAACTCTGGGCCTGGGCGCTGTCCCTCAGCTCTTCAGCTCAAGGCTAACGCTCTACCACTTGAGCCACTGTACCACTTCCGGCTTTTTCTGCTTATATAGTGTAGAGGGATCAAATCCAGGGCCTCATGCATGCAAGGCAAGCATTCTACCACTGAGCTACCTTCCCAGCCCCTACTTTCTAAAAATATATGTTGAGATTGCTTTGGAAAGGCAGAAAAGGAGAATGATAGATGGGGTAGGATTGATTGGAACATATTGTAAATTGTGGAAATGTAACAATGAAATTGTTCTCTGTATAACTAATGTAAGCTAATTTGAAGAAAAGAAAGATGCCAGGTGCCAGTGCTCACATCTATAATCCTAGCTACTCAGGAGTCTGAGATCTGAGGATTGTGGTTTGAAGCCAGCTAGGGCAGGAAAGTCCATGAGATTAAAAGGAAAAGGGAAAGGAAGAGAAAACAAAAAGAAAAGAAAATCTGGGGGCTGGGAAGGTGGCTCAGTGGTAGAGCGCTTGCGTTGCATGCCTGAGGCCCTGGGTTCGATTCCTCAGCACCACATAAGCAAAAAGAAAAAAGACGGAAGTGGCGCTGTGGCTCAAGTGGTAGAGCGCTAGCCTTGAGCTGAAGAGCTGAGGGACAGCGCCCAGGCCCAGAGTTCAGGCTCCACGACCGGACCCCCTCCCCCCCAAAAAATCTGTCTCATCACCAGACCTCAAGGATAGAAACATGGTCTATTTGGCTTGCCACTGTATCCTCAGTACCTAGAACAGTGCTTGGCATGTGGTTCATGAGAGTCACCTAGTTAGTGACTGATACAGTCCATCTGGCCCTCTACTGCATCACTCTCACTCAGCCACCGTGTACTTTTCCTCACCTCACTTCATGGCTCTTGTCTTCTGCCAGTGACTTTTGTCTGATATTTTCTGCACCCTCCATGACTGCTTTGCTGCTTTGCTATCTTGGCTTGTTGATCATTTCTGCTATCACTTGTTACTAAACTTTCACTTGTGTGTGTTGACCGTAGGTGCTTAGTCTCATATTTTTCATTATTCTTCTGTCCTCAGTTTTCCTGGGTGGCTATCAGAGCATGGTATCTAAGAGATGTTCTGGCTCTCTAGGTGGGCTCTTGCAAGTTACTTTACCTCTTTAAACTTTACAGTTCTCATTTGTAAAGTACATATGCCTCCCAAGGTTAATATGAGGATTGAATGAGACTGTATAAATCCTATTGACTGTGTCAGTACCAGTTGTTGCTACGTACTGACTCTCATCCTGGCCTGACAGGTACCTTGAGTACAGGTGCCAGGAAGATGGAGGTGCCAGTAAGGATGAACACCATTAGGCCCGTCAGCCTCTGCTCCCTGTGGGGAGAAAGAAGAGATAGCTACAGTTTGGAAGAGTGCCTAACACCTAGGCTAGATATCAAATGACTCACTAGTAGAGGCCCTAGCAGCCAGAGGAAAATAGATCCTCTAGTCAGTTCCCCTCAACTGATAGACAGGAAAGGCACTTTACATGAGGTCCCCAGGCCACCAGTATCTGGCTAATAATATATTTTAGACAGATTGTGTTTCCAACAGTTTCAAACTTGCTTGTAATGAATTCCTTTGAACAGCCATTGATATGCTTCTGCATTGAGCAGGGACTATCAGGTGGTACATCACTCTCCACTTAAGCTTTGGCTACCTCCACCTTTGAGGGCCCTCCTCCTCATCACGATTGAAGGGGAGAAAATCCCGAGTCCAGAACCCACCCACTACAGTGAGTTTAAACTGTCAAAATAACTGTCACATATCCCATAACTACCTTGCTCTTCTCCTCCTACTCGAGCCTCTGAATCCAGGCCTTACCTGATGCCCAGAAAGCTGGGGGCCTCCCCAGGAGCATAGACTCTGCTTTCTCTCCGGAGACTGTCCATGTGGGCCAGGGAGATGACAGTGGCTGAGACATACCAGGGCAGCCCAAGCACTGATGTGAGCAGAATCAACACAGCCACACAGAACAAGTCCAGGTGGAAGCCAGCTCCCTTCTGCAGGGAGTGGATGGAGGATGATGAGTGGATGGAGGCTACCCTGGACCATAGAAGAGGGGCAACCTGGACTCCATCCTGGAGTTTCTGTCCCTTGATCTAGGATCTTAATGATCAAGCCTTACCTGCAGTCTATATTCAGTGCGGTTGAGGATGACTGCTGTGATCTGCTGGTCCATGAAGATGAGAATAGACAGCAGCAGGGCAGGCAGGGCAGCTGCCACACTCAACCACCAGGAGTTAGCTCCAAAAGGTGACACCAGCCAGCCACGCCCAGGGAGTGTAGGCTGAGGGAAGGCATTCCATGGACAGATGTACATGGAATACATGGGTTCCAAGAATACATGTGTACCCCCACCCCACAGTCTCAGTACTCTTTTACAGTCTACTCCCCTTTCTAGGACACTGGATGCTAGGGGAAAGTGTGTGTGTGTGTGTGTGTGTGTGTGTGTGTTGTGCTTCAAAACATCCCAGTACCTTAAAAGAAGGCAAGATGGGGCCAGGCTGGCTGGAGCCAAAGGCTCTAGGCATTTGCTGTGAGGTCCCTCCCTCACTGGCTATGGCCTTCCCACACTTCTTGCAGTATAGTATATACAGCCCTCCTTATTAGACACTCCCCCATTCAGGGTGGGGCAGCTCAGGCTCAGACATGCCCAGATCTGGGGTAGGGGTGGGGCAGGGCTAGGTGTGTCTGCGTCTGCTTTGATTATAAGCGTCTGTTGGAAGCAGAAGGCCTGGATTGCTACTTGGAGTTCTGAGCCCCTGAGGCTGCCCCAAATAGAGCCTTCCTGCCCTTCTGTACTGGAGGAAACCAGTGGGAAGTCTCTTGTAGCACAAAGCCTAATAATCAGTACAAAGCTTTGTTCTATACAGTCACACCCTAGAGAGAGAGCTCCAGCTTTACTGGAACGAAGCAGGCAATGAGGAGTGAAAGAAAAGAGTGAGAATTAGTGAAGTAGGCAGGGCCACAGTAAAGGGTAGGGAGAGCTCATAACAATAATGACTAACATTTACTGAAGACTTGTTATGTGTCGAGCACTGTGAGACGTGCCAAACACTAGGATCTACTGTAAACCTCAAAATAACCTATGAGGTAGGAGCTATTGTTATATTATTTCCATCTTATAGATTAAGAAATAGGCTTTCAATAAATTGCTTAATGCATACATACGAAGTGGCAGAACTGAAATTTAAGCCCAAGGCTGGCTGTACAGAGCCCATCTACTGAAAAGTAATAGCTACTGTGCATAATCTTCTATTATCACTCATGTACTACTTCATGTAATGCTCCCAACAGCTCTGTGGGACCATTATCATTACTATTTTTTTATTTTATGAGTGAGGAAAGAAATTCATGAAGAAAAGAATAGCAACTGTGCATCTTTTCTCTTCCAAGGTTTGTTAGCGCTGATGTTCCCCTATCCACCATCAAATGGCCCAGCTCTCACCTTGAATTCTGTGGGTACCAGGAGCTTCGGGGTGGCTAGGCCCAGGAAAGCATCAAGGACACAGCCCAGCAGGATAGCCAGGACTGAGGAAAAGTCGCTGAACACTTTGCGCACCTGGCCACACAGTGGATACAGTGAGGTCTGGACCTGCCATGTCTTTCCTTTCACATCCTGTCCCATTTCCAAACAGGACTCAAAGCCAAGAGAATAACTCTCACATAGAAAAAAAGGCAACACTCACCATGGAGGGGAAGAGGCGGCTGTTCTTTACATGCTTGAGAGCCGTAGCAAAGAAGAAGGAGGTAAGGAAGAGGAGAAGAGAGAAGAGGGCGATGTCTGGCACTGTATGGCATCCAGGACCACGAGGGTAGCCTCCCTTCTGGGTGCACTCAGGAGGAGGTAACAAGGATGCATTGACCAGGCCTAAATCCTATATGAAGGGATAGTCAGCTACTGGGGGTAGTGGAAGCAGAGAGAGCATCATACTCTTCTATACCCACCTCAGGGGAAAAGGGACATGCAGGATGGGAAATCATTGGCCATGAGGTGGGGAGAGCTGAGATCAACTGAGTGCTTTGGTTTTCCCTCTTTTTTCCCAAACCTTCCCAGGAGCAAGCCCTCACCATGCTTAAGATGTCATCTCTGTCATTTGGCTTTGTCCTTGTCCACTGAGACACATTTTCTGGGAAGCAGAGAATAATTCAGTTGCATACCCCCTCCAGCCCCTTCTCAGCAACCACAGGATTCTAATCTGATGGTCCAGCTAATCACAGAGTTCTGCTTTCTGGCAACTCCATTGCAACCCCATATGTATTCCTCAGGGTACTGCCACCTACCCAGAATCCTCAACTTCTCTACCATCTGTATCCCACAGGATCAGGCCAGAGCAGTTGCTCAGAAAATGGCTTTATTTATGAACTCACAAATCTGTTCCTACCAGAGCAAGAACTGGTCTTGTCCATGCCTAGCAGAGAGTCCTGCACACTTTAGAGAGAACACCACTCCCAGTCTTGGTGCTGCCTTCCACATGTAGGGTTATGTTCAAATAGAACACTCCAAGCCTTTCTCTAGCTACTTGATTGTTGCCATCCAGGAAGTGATGTGACTTACTTGATTGGTGAGTTTAAGAGATGAAGCTGGGTGTGCTAGGCCCTACCACTCCCTCTGCCTGTTTGGTGCATGTATTTAACTCTACTCCTCTGGGGCAATTAGGTCTCTATCCATTGCTGCTGTGAAGTCAAGAATTGGCTTTAAGCTGGGCGCCGGTGTCTCATGCCTGTAATCCTAGCTACTCAGGAAGCTGAGATCTGAGGATTGTGGTTCAAAGCCAGCCTGGGCAGGAAAGCCCATGAGACTCTTTTTTTTTGGGGGGGGGGGGGGGAGGGTCCAGTCGTGGGGCCTGAACTCTGGGCCTGAATGCTGTCCCTCAGTTCTTCAGCTCAAGGCTAGCGCTCTACCACTTGAGCCACAGTGCCACTTCCGGCTTTTTTCTTTTTTATGTGGTGCTGAGGAATCGAACCCAGGGCCTCCGGCATGCAAGGCAAGCGCTCTACTACTGATCTACCTTCCCAGCCCCTCCAAGAGACTCTTATCTCCAATAAACCACTCAGAAAACCAGAAGTGGCTCTGTGGCTCAAGTGGTAGAGTGCTCACCTTGAGCTGAAGAGCTGAAGGACAGAGCCCAGGCCCAGAGTTCAAGCCCCACAATCACACACACACACACACACACACACACACACACACACACACAAAATCCAATCACACACACACAAGTGTGTTCTTCTATCAAGTCTTTGATATCTTTATTGTGTCTAATAAGGACCATGAGTTTTCTGAGTAGCTAAGATTACAGGCATAAGCCAATGGTATCTGGCTAAACACAAGCTTTGTTGACCTCCATGTCAAGTGATTCAGAACCAAAGAGGGTAAGAGTGTTATTGTTCGTTAGATAAATACTCAGCATTTTCCTGAACTTAATCAGTGGTCCTTCCCCCTCCCATATCCTTCCTTGCCTATTTCCCTGTTTCCCTCACCTACCTCCTGGGCCTGGATATTGACAGAAGCAGCCATAGGCAGGGGACCCTGGCCTTTGGATGGGATAGGCATGGGCCAAGCTCAGCATTTTTCCGAGGGCATCGTAGATGAAGATGAGGCTGATGAGTGCACAGAATCCTTCCTCTGTAAAGCGGGTGAAGTAACGTACCAGCACGCTGGCCTCTGTGGCCACCAGCACCAGGCAAAATGTGGCCACCCAGATGCCTACCCACAGGCGGAAGGGCAGGTAGTCCAGGCGGTAATCTCTGTGGGGATGAGATACAGGCAAGGATATGCCCCTCAAGCCAAAGAGATAGCTCCAGCCCTCTCGTCTAGCCAGGACAGACTGAGGGTATGACTAGTCGGAGGCTGGGGATATAGGGAAGGTCTCCTACCTGCAAAAAGTGAAGAGCAGGCGCTCAAAGACCAGCACTGGCCCGGTGCTGCTGAGGATGGTAAGGGGCTGACCTGCCATCAGGCAGAAGGCAGCCCCCGTAACTGCAGTGCCCAGGAAACTTTCCAGCACTCCCTGGAAGCCAATAGAGACATGACAGGACTCTGGCCTCCCTAGCACAGACACCCAAGCTTCAACAGAGTTTCTTCAGTCCCCAGAAGAAGAGGACCACAAAGCTAGTGTTTAGCCAGACACCATTGGCTCATGCCTGTAATCTTAGCTACTCAGAAGGCTAAGATCTGAGGATCATGGTTCAAAGCCTGGGAAAGAAAGTCTGTGAGACTCTTATCTCCAACAAACCAGCAAAAAGACAGAAGTAGAGATGTGGCTCAAGAGGTAGAGCCTTAGCTTTGGGTGAAAAAGTAAAGGACAGTGCCCAGGTTTAGGCCCTGAGTTCAAGCCCCAGTACTGGCACACACACACACACACACACACACACACACACACACACAAGCTGATGCCAACACATTTCCCATAACTGCACTTCCCACAACCCTCACACACCTGGGCACCTTCAGTGGCATCTCCCAAGAGACCCCCGAAAGTGATGGCATTTGTGATGGTGGCCAGGTAAATGTAGAGCACAGCTGAGAGACACTGGGGATGCAGGGCGTCCAAGAAGTCGCTGGAGTACCACAAGGCTTTCCGACGCACGTCCTGGACAAGACCCCCAAACAGCCTCCCACCCCACCCATGGGTCATCAGTGACCCATATTCCCATACCCCCAGCCTGCACTGGGCCTGATTTCTCTGTGGCCAGGCGATCCCCATGCAAAGAACCCCTACCTAGAGGCCCCATGACCCCTCCACAAAACCCCTAACCCTTTTTCCCCATCAATTCGCCTCACCAGCCGGTCCGCTGCAACTCTGGGTTGGGCATGTGTGGCCCACGATGGTGGTGCCTGTCCTCTGCTAGGGCTCCACGCAGCCCAGAGATGCCCCTGACCTCCCACACTTGCGAGGAGAGCCTGAGGAGAAGGGAAGCCCCTGGGGAACTGAAGAGCTCCATCCAGCCAGTGACTTGGTCTAGATTTGGTGGCACCCTGCCCCCTGGTGGCTGCTGTTTCCCCGATCTAACAGCCAGGTGTACTAGAAGAATCCCATCACTTCACCCAGACCAAGTGATGCCAGGCTCAGCCAAGATGGCAACTGTGAGGGACTTAGGGAGAGATAGGGAGAGAGAGAGGCAGAACTCTCCAAAGACAAGACCTCTAGACAAGAGCAGAGAGGAGGGATCTGATGGAATGATGGCCTCCAGGTACCTTTTGTGCTGAAAGGGCAGGCATTTAGGCGGGGGAATTCGGGCTGTCGGGTCCCACCGACCTGGGGGGAGCACTGTCACCTCCTGTAGGAAGGCATCTAGGGCCGCCAAAAGGTCATGAAGGTTGCTGGCCTGACGAACTGACCACTGGAATTGCTGGGTTTAGGGGCACAGAATGGGCAGGACATGCAGATTTGAACTTTAATACATTTTCACTCGAATGTTTCTCAAAATTAGAATCACCCAGATCACAAGCAGAGAAGTCATGCATCACTTTCAGGCATGCAAGTACTCATTTGATGGGTATTGAATGCCTAATATATGCCTGCACTGGGCCAGTAATCAGGTTACATTGGTAGCCATGGAAACTTCAGTCTCTATGTTATGAACTTCAATAAGCCTCCGTGTTGTGATTGGTCACACATACAGAGTCCAAACATGCTCACAGAAGCTCATGTGCATTTATGTGTACACGCACATATGCACACACACACACACACGCTTGCTCTACTCACCAGGTCACTGAGGAGGACAGCCATTGCTCTACCCATTTCATGGTAGGCCCTTCCAGGCATAGGGGGGCCCAGGAGGAGACAGAAAAACCTGAAGAAGGAACAAGGGCCTCACAGAAGGTCAGAGGCTGCTTCCCTCTAGGACAGCACAGCCCCCAGATGGGCAGCCTCTAGACCTGATGATGCTCAGTACTGACCTCCTTACCTGCCCTGTACATTCTCAAGTGCACATCTGCTCTGCAGTCCTGACCTTGCCCTGGATGCCATCCCCCACATCCTCAGGGACATGGATCCAGGGAAACCCCTTCCCTCCAGTAAACATCCTTCTTTAGGGCCCAGACTCCCACTCAGTTGCTTTACCTACTGGGGATGGGCACTTCAGTAAGTGGCCCCAGCACCACAGGATTCTGCAATCGAATGAAGGCCCCCAGTGGCCGTGCCAGGAAGCCCAGCTCTCCTGCCAGCACTGCTGCTGCCTCTGCCCCTGGAGGCAGCTTTTGTCTCAGGGGGTTACGATGCTGAGTAACCAGAAAGTAAGACATTATTATTTGGGGAAAGGAATGTTGCCAGGATCTCTCACTATGGGCCCACAGGAGGGAGGCCCTCTGTTAATTCCTAACCCCTCTGCCAGCCTTTCCCAGGGAAGACCACAAACCTGTTCCTTCAGGGGGGCATCCTCATCATGAGAATCCTTTCTTATATCAGTGGATTCTACAAAACAGGAGTCTGTAGAAATTAATAACACAGATTTTGGGGGTGAGTCGACCAGGGCTCCCTTACCAGCTTTGCCACTGACAGGCTGTGAGAACTGGCACACAACCCCTCCCCTTTTCTGGGCCTCAGTTTCCTCTTCACTAAAATGGGGATAATTGTACAACTTTCCAAGGTGACTTTCAAGATTAAATGCGATACTTCATGCAAGGGTCCTGGCACAATACCCACCAAGTACATTCCTTCACAGAACTCTGGCTGTTACGTTTCTATTCTTTCCTCCCCTATTTCCCTTCTCATCATTACCCCCAACTTTCTCTTGCTCATGAGTCCTGGGTTGAGGTCTTAACCAAGTTGAGGCCATTCCTGGCTCAGGAAGTTACAGGAGACATCTGGGATCCTTCTCCCATAGGGCATTGAGCCTGAGTCTCTCACCCCAGCAGAGCTTGGTGCCTCTCGTCTGGATGTTGTGTTGAGGTCTCTGCAGCAGCAAGGCCTGAAGTTGCCCTTTCAGCTCTGGACTCAGTGACTCCACCCTTATCACCTGCTCTGCAGAATAAATGTGGGACTTGAACCCCATCCTGATAGCCCTCTGCTTCCATTGCTCATACCCTTCCCCTTCCATTCTATTCTAGGAGTGACAGAGTACAGATGCCACCTTGTTCCTCTACTCTATCCATCTTGATCCTAAGAAAGGAATGGACAATCCTTAGAATGGGATTCATGGGGGGTGGGCTCTGAAAGGTTCCAAGACTGTAGATCTCTTGGGAAATGTCCTATCTACCCAGGCCCTCCCCAAAAAGGCTTCCATCCTACCCACAAGTTCCAGGAGACTCTGAGCTGGACAGTCCAACAGTATAAGGCCTTCTGCCAGCAGGCTTCGGAGTTTCTGGAGGCTGGCAAGTGCCAGGGTAGGTACATGGGGGGCACTCCACCGGCCAGCACCCACCTCCAGCTTCTCTTCGAACAGCACCCACCTGTGATGGGCAGACAGTGTTATTGGGGAACTCTCTCCCATGTCTAGGATCAGGGACACTACGGAGCCAGGAAAGGTAGAATGGTAGGAGTTCCTTGGCCCAGTACAGAATATATCCTCATATTAACTACCCTACCTTGGGTCTCAGAGAACCCAAAACTAGAATGCGGAGGAGACAGTAAGTATACAAATACTTATGGAAGGTGGAACACAGAGAGGAAATCAGAATTGAGGATGGGAAAGTACCCCCACAGAACTGGCTTGGTCATACTCACCTTCCTGTCTCTCTCCACTCAAGTGCCTGGGGCCAGCCCAGTAGTTCATTCAGCTGAATGAAGAGCATAGGGCTGTTGGGTACTACCATGTCCCTGCTGTCTGTGTCTAAGGGGACATCAGGACCAGGGCCAAGGACATTGTCCAGCTCTCCTGCAGGAACATTTTCACCAGCACTGGAGGTTTCAAATTCCTCCTGGCCTGGCAGCTTCATCTTGGGGAGGCTTACACAGAATCTCAAGGGCCTCTGGCTGGCTGCATTTATACTGCACCCCTTCCCACAACCTGACACAAACAGAGCAAGCCTGTTGGCCCCAGAGCATACTGGTCACCTCCTCACCTGCTTACTTCTCTACCCCCTGTGGCCTGAGAATATTTGTAAAGCTAGCCTGGCTTTTCCCAGTCTCTTCGGAAATGCTCAACTTGGGGGCAAACACAATATGTGTGCATTTCTCATGGGATCAGGTCTAATCTGAGTTTTGTATAAATAAATAGAAGAAATCCATACACCGACACCTCCTCTAACTTGTATCAAATAGAAACACCAAACCTCCAGGACTGTTTTAGGTATCAACAACATATCCCTCATACATTTGGACAAACTGGGAACTAATAAACAACTAGGCCTAGGCAGGGTAAAGGAGATAGCAGGTAGAGGCCTGCTGACTAATGATTTGAAAATGCAGTCAAGTCATAGAGAACATAATGCCTGTGCCTTAAATTCTTTTGACCAACAACATCTGGAAACTCCCTAATTCACCTTTGTTCCTATGTTCCCCCCCCCCCCCCCCCCCCCCGCTCTAACCCACATTGAAGACAGAAGACACAACCAGGGTGTGTTTGTAAAAGAGTTCCTGAAGTCACCTGAGCTAAGAAGAATGTAGTTACTTACCAAGTCCTGTTGGCTCTATCTGTTTCTAGAATTCAACCCTATCTTTAAGACTATCACCATGATCTAAGCCATCATCTCTTATTGCCTTCTATCCTCTCTAGCAATAATCTTCTCTGTTTTAGCTCTTCTCCTTGCCCAAAGTCCATCTGCCATATATCAGCCACAGGTTGTGTGTGTGTGTGTGTGTGTGTGTGTGTCTGGGTCTGGGTCTGTCTGTGTGTGCCAGGAGGGGCTGGAACTCAGGGCCTTGTGGTCTGGTAAGAGTTTACCACTTGAGCTACACTTCCAGTTTGGCATTTTGCTGTATAATTAGGGATGGAGTCTCACAGATTTTTTTCTGGTGGGGGAGGGAGGTGCGCTGGGCTGGCATCAAGCTATGATTCTCTCGATTTTATTCTCCTGAGTAGTTAGGATTACAGCCACCAGCACCTGGCTCATAGGGGTTCTAGCATTACTAGCCAAACATCTATGGATCACATCTGTAATCCTAACTACTCAGGAGGCTGAGATCTGAGGATTGAGATTCAAAGGTAGCCCAAGCAGGAAAATCTGTGATACTCTTATCTCCAATTAACCACCAGAAAACCAGAAGTGGTGCTGTGGCTCAAAGTGCTAAAATGCTAGCCTTGAGTGGAAGAAGCTCAGAGACAGCACCCAGGCCCTGAGTTCAAGTCCCACAGCTGGAAAAAAAAAAGCATTCCTGCTGGATGGGGTGACACATACCTGTAATCCCCGTATTGTGGAGGCTGAGGCAGAGGATCCAAAGTTCAAGATAACCTTGGATTACATAGGGAGAACCAATCTCAAAAAACAAAAAAACAACCCTCCCACTGAGAACACAAAAGGCATTCCAGTCACATTCTTTCCTACTCAAAACATTTCCAACACATGCCCACTACTCTCAGCATAAAAATTAAACTCATGTCATGGCCTACTATATTCATGGTCCATCTCCAGCCCACCCCACTGACCACATCTCTGCCATCGTTTTCTCTCTTCTTTCTAAGCCAGGAATATAATAAATGCCCTGTTTCTGCCAGAAGAGCTTTGTGGTAGCAGTTTTCTGTAAATTTCCACCCTAAATCCTTACATGCTTGAGTCCTTATCACTGAAGTCTAATGTCAAATATGACTTGCTCAAGGGAAACTTCCTTTTCTATCCTTAGTTTCCCTCTGAGGTTACTCTCCATAACATTGCTGTTTTATTTTCTTCCTAGCAGCCATCACTCTAGTAACTGCCTCATTTATTTGTTTATCATTTATTGCCTACCTCTCTACACACACACACACACACACACACACACACACACACACACTGAAATGTACTGTCTATGGAGAAGTATCTTATTTGTTTGTTGGCTGCTCCTTGAGCAGCCGGGCTCTCAATAAATACTTTTCGGATGAACGCATAGAGAGAAAAGGATTTGGCAAGGAGCCGAGCTACTCATGATGTCCACACGAGGGCGCTGCTTCCCACGCTCGAATCGCTAGAACCGCTCCCTTAGGCCAAGTGGCTGTGTTTTGTTTCCCAACTAGGGCGCTGGCGCCGAGATGGCGAGATGACAGGCAGGGAGGGGTACATGATCCTCTCTGCCTTGCCCTTGCCTATCGAGAATGAATCTAGGGAGATGGGGCTTGGGGCAGCACAAAAGGATAGGGAAGGGAGGAGTGTTCCAGTTCGTTTGAATGTGAGCCAAGCCCCTCAATAAATACCAGGAACCTGTCCCCTGAGAAAATGGGACCCAGGTGGTCCTCTCCACCAACCTCAGGTATAGTCTAAAAGGTCCCAAGGCAATCATTAGAGGAAGGAGTTACTACATTACCAATTGGCAAGGGTGACGAGTCTCAGGGGAAAGATAGATGTTTTCAGTCTCAAGGGGAATAGAAACTAGCCTAGGGCATGAAAAGGCCAGGGAACCCTTGTGACCATTACTTTCAGGAATGTGCCCCAATCTTAGGGACAGTGAACTCAAGACAGCTTGAGGATGATGAGATCATGGGTTTGGCATGCATACCCTCCCCCTCCACACACACACCTAATACCCTCTATTCCTGCCTTCACTCTTGACAGAGGTCTGAGGGTCTCTTGTGCATCTCTATGACCCTATCTACTCTGCCTGCTGTAGCAGAGCCATTAGGCCACCTCCCCAGATTCCACTCCCATACCCCTGTCTGAACTGAGCAGGTAGATGAGGGCTATGCCTATGGGCTCCAGTAGACTCCCAGACAGGACCCAGGACACATGAAGTGAGCAGACCAGGGGGTGTCTATTAGAGTTCAAACACCAGGTTCTCCTGTTGGCTAAGTCATATACCCTGGGCAAAGCCTTTCTCTCTGAGCTTCACTTCCTCTGCATGTAAATGGAGATTGTTGGATAGATGATTTCCAAGGTTCAAACCTCAATGCTATGCACTGTGCAGGATCTGGTGAAGTAGGGTGGCCTTGCCAACTAGCCACACTATGTGAACCCTGCATGGTTACTTCCCAGCAATGGGGAAAATTTACCTTGGCTGAACTTGAGTTTTCTTATGAGCAAGTGGGAAGTAATTAATAAAACATTTGTGGGTTGGCATTGCCAAGCATGTGTGAGGCCCCGGGTTCAATCTCCGGCACTGAAAATAAAGCCTATACTTTGTAGGCTTACTAAATGACACAATGATGTAAGATAGCCCTAGTACTCAATAAATACATAAAAGGAGGTTGTTATTCTTATATAACAATGAGAATAATTGCTCTAGAATGGAAAGAAAAGAAGCTTTTTAGGAAAGATACTAAAATGCTGAATGTCCAACTCCTGTCCTAGGCATATTATCTTACGCAAGCCTTACAATAAGTATTTTTAAAAATATAATTACTTCTCACAATGCCCATCTTCTGGCACAAAGATGAAGTTGAAGGCATCTGGAGGGAAAGAGGATGCAGAACCAGGGTGATGGAGTGTGTAGGACAAGACCACCTGGGTCTGCCATAAATTGCTCAGACTCAGACTTTCTGGTCCTCTCTGGCCTAAGACTTCTACACTTAAGTAGGAAGAAGAAAACTGGTAATAGTTGAGTTTCATATTCATTATTTATGTTCTCCCTGATTCCAGAAAAGATTGAAAGGTGTTTTATAACAGAAGACATAGACACAGGTATATATCTAAAGAATGTTTAAAGAGCCCTAAAATAAAATCAAATTATGGACAAAGGAAACTATCCTCAAAATCCTGGGTTAGAAATAACATTACAACTGAACACATGGTCTTAATTTGAGCTTCTTGGCTATGGAATCCATGAGTTCCACACTTGTCATATCTAATAAAAGGACTTACTATACCAGATAGACACCAAGACCATACCATAAGAAGAATTTATCCTTTCCAACTTGGGCCCGGCAGAATGGCTCCTGCAAAGAAGGGTGGTGAGAAGAAAAAGGGCCGTTGTGCCATCAACGAGCTGGTGACCCGTGAATACACCATCAACATTTACCAGCGCATCCATGGAGTGGGCTTTAAGAAGCGTGCTCTTTGTGCACTCAAAGAGATCCAGAAGTTTGCCATGAAGAAGATGGGGACTCCAGATATGTGCATCAATACCAGGCTCAACAAAGCTGTCTGGGCCAAAGGAATAAGGAATGTCCCCTACCAGATCTGTGTGCGGCTATCTGGAAAATGGGATGAGGATGAAGACTTCCCAAACAAGCTCTATACTCTGGTAACCTATGTCCCTGTTACCACATTCAAAAATCTACAGACAGGCTGGGAAGGGGGCTCAGTGGTAGAGCGCTTGCCTTGCATGCATGAGGCCCTGGGTTCGATTCCTTAGCACCACATAAACAAAAAGAAAAAAGCCGGAAGTGGCGAGTGTGGCTCAAGTGGTAGAACGCTAGCCTTGAGCTGAAGAGCTGAGGGACAGCGCCCAGACCCAGAGTTCAGGCCCCACGACCAGACCCAAAAAAAAAAAAATCTACAGACAGTCAATGTGAATGAGAATTCGTGTCAAATAAAGCTATAAAATTGCTTTAAAAAAAAAAAGAAGAAGAATTTATATATGAGACTATATTTTGGGGTGTGCTAGTACTGGGGATTGAACTCAGAGCCTGGGTGTTGTCCCTTAGCTTTTTCACTCTGTCACTTGAACCACAACTTCACTTCTGGCATTTGGTGGTGAATTGGAGATAAGAGTCTCAGACTTTCCTACCCAGACTGGCTTCAAACTGCTATCCTCAGATCTCAGCCTCCTGAGTAGCTAGGATTACAGGTATGAGCCAGTGGCACCCAGCTCAGAAAACTTTTTCAAAGGATATATATAGGAGGGCTTACCTTGTGTATCTCTTGTGTAAATAGCTCTAAATCTTTTAAAAATAATTATTTCCTGTGGGTGGGGATGGGAGGGAAAAATTGGGAGAGAGCAAAGGAAGGGGTGATATTGTCAAAAAGAAATGTACTCATTACT